ATATATATATATATATATAGAGTTTTTTTTTGCAAATACATATAAATTACTTTCCGCACGCACGCACTTTTAACGGAATTAAAATCTTGAAAGTGCAAAAACTGAGATAGTCTCATTGATCAATAAAAAATAAATAGATCAGGAACATTTTTTTCTTATGAATAATTCTGTGTACATCTTTGATTTCTTAAATTCGACTGATATAAAGAGACAATATTTTTATTTACAACATAGTTAAAATCATTTTCATGTTAAATTGAGATATGAATTACAATGAGAAAAATCATTAAATTTTAATTGCATTCTTATTATTGTAGTTATGGAAAATAAAATGTGTAAAGATGATAAATAACAGATTGTATTAGTGATTAATATTGAAATACCACTATACAACTTCATAAAGTTAACAGATTTCGTATTTATCAAGATAAAAAATTGTTTAAACTACAAGTGACAAGACATATTGAATTAATAGCATAAACCCAGTTTAAACAATTTAGAAAATAAATCGATTACTAAAGATATAAAAGTAAAATTCAAAATAGCAATAAAAATATTGTCATGTAATCAACTACAAACGACTTGATTAAAAGGACTCCAAACAAAACAAATTCGTTTAACTTTTAACTATAACGTTATCGCAAACATATAGAAATAAATATTAGTAGAAATTTAAACTTAGTCTTCGTTGCGACACAAGAAGAGCTACTCAACATTCGTATGATAAAAATATTGTCATATAACATCAACTACAAGCGACTTGATTAAAAGAATATCTCCAAACAAAACAAATTCGTTTAACTTTTAACTATAACGTTATCGCAAACATATAGAAATAAATATTAGTAGAAATTTAAACTTAGTCTTCGTTGCGACACAAGAAGAGCTACTCAACATTCATATGATAAAAGTGCTGTTAGTAATATTATTAATTTAAAGAATTAATAACGATATGGCATCTGAGGTAAGATACATACAATCCACAACAGATAATAAAATCCGTAGATATTAATAAAAATATAAGTTTTATTAACATTATTGTCATCTTTTAGGAGTCTGACGAAAAAATTGATATATTGTCCGGAACAGAAGATTTACTTCATAATGTAAATATTGGAAATATGATTTTGAAAGCATTCGAATCTAAGCCGAATTTTGTCGGTCAGGTAACAATACCGCTTATTCGTTATGTTAACTATTTTCATAAATAGTAAAAGGATTAATATCTTATTGACATATTAATATCAATATATTAATATCTTTAACATTATGCGACTGGTACATATTGTAGATAGATACAATGACGGAAGAGCAAACTACATATCAGCAGATGCGGGAGAACAGTGTTAAATGTGCATTATGGTTCGAACAATTACGCTGTAAAAAAAACACAATAACAATATGCACAAATCATAAAATGCTCGAATATATACCATTTCTAGCAAGTTTATATGTCGGAGCTACTATTAATTCATGGGACAAAGAGTACATGAAAGGTACATTGATCTTTTTCTAAAATTCAATATAACTTATTTTAACGTTTATATATACCTTTTACTTAATAAATAAACCTTAAAAAAATAAACCTTTTTAGATACGATACGTATTATGTATTTTTTGGTGGAATATAAACCAGATATTATCTTTATCGATAGTGACAATTACAAGAAACTCAATTCGGCTATTGAAAACATAAGCAGAAAAAAAAATGTAGACCCTCCAAAAATCATAACTTTTGATAGAATTGAAGATGTCGATTCTCTTGAATCAATTCTGAACAGTGATTTTGATAAGACCAAAATTGATAGATTTTCCTGCAAGAACATGAAACCAATGAATACTGTGGCCATAATGTTTTCTCCCAGTGCAACTAGTTACCCTAATAGTAAAATATTTATTCCTAAAATTGCACTTACATATCCGTCGAATGAGGAGATACCCGTAATGTTTTCCGGTGACATTGGTCTATGGTATCCATCTTTAAATTGGAGTTATGGTGTGATCTTGACTGTTCGTTGTATAATTTCATATGTGACAGTGATCAAGTGTCCAAAATTCAGCGATAAAAACATGTACGAAACGATAGAGAAGTACAAGGTAACATAAAAAGAATCAAGTTTTGTTTAAAAAATTAATGAAATATAAAATATTTACATATGTATCAGGTTTCATGGATATTTCTTGAAAGCAAAATGTGCATGAAAAATATGTTTTATACCGATATCTGTATGTATGATATCTCTTCCTTGAAGCAAATTATAATCGATGATTCAACCATGAATTTCAATGAAGCTCAAAAAACACTTCGCGATAAATTTATGAATGTTTCTATTGTTCAAGTATACAGTATGTACAATTTAAATCAATTGTTAATGATAGGAATGTATTATCTAAAATTAATAATTGTTGCATTGATTAGGTATAGCAGGATTATGCATAATTCTTGCTTTCCAACGGGATAATCCGAAGCCCGGATCTGGCGGTTATGTGACCAAAAATGTTCAATTACAGTTTACCAATATATGTTCGCAAAAGATACTTGGTCCGTGCAGAGCAGGCATGATCTGGTACAAACTTATATTCAAATGGTGCTCTCCTCAGACATGTAAATTGGAAAATTGTTACAACTATCAAGCAAAAAAGGATTCTATCAACAATAATATAAAAACATGTTGTCAGTATACCAACTTTTCTAATATATATATTATATTAGTTTACAAACATTACAAAGCTTAACAAAGTAAAATACTTAATATAATATTACATGTTTTCAGTTAGTCAAAAATGGCACTATACCGGAGATTACGGCTATTACGACAAGGATGGCGAAATTTTCCTCATCGATAAAATGAAAGATCTTATTAAATATAGAGTATTTCATCTCTCACCTATAAGAATTGAGAATACATTACTACAACATCCAGCAGTGTCAGAAGTCGTTGTACGATCTGTACCACATATTACTAATGGTCAACATCCTGTAGCTTATGTTAAGAAAAAATGCGGAGAAGAGGTTGAAATCTGATTGATTTTTTCTGTAAAGTCGAATAATTTTTTATCGAAATTTCACGTTATTGTATCTTAGGTAACGGAAGAGGAATTGATAAAATTTGTAGCAGAGAATTTGCCTGATATCTATCAACTGCGTGGAGGCATTTATTTCAAGACATATATACCACGTCTTCCCAACGGAAAAGTCGATCGAATGTTCACATAACTGGCGATCGAGTGATTTAATATTACAATAATATTATATTTTTCATCATTTCATTAGTGAAAATATTCAAAGCGACAATTTTATATATAAAATGTTCAAAAAAATAATCATCAATTATCATTTTAATATTAGATTAACAATGACTAAGTGAGTTGGCTTTTTCTTTTTTCAAAAGAAGATTATTATTATTGAAATTAATATTTCAATAATATTTGTTATTTCTGTAAATATTTTAAAATTTATTTTTATATATATATGTATAATTGTATATTTTCATAACTAAAATTGTATATAATTGTATATATACATATATCTGTAACTTAAATTGAAATTATAAATTTATTAAAACAAATTCAATCCAAAAGATAATTAATAATTATACTTTTGATAAGCTATTCAACTCTCTAAAATTTATCTCGCGAAAAATGTTCTTTTTTATCAATCATATCACTATTAACCATTAAACACCATATAATGGAAATGACGCACTTGAATATGGCATACTCAACGACTTCGACTTTGTTTATAACTTTTATAAAAACATACTTATTACAATTTTTTGGGCCATCTATAATGACATATATGAAGCTATTCATATATATAATAGCATCATATATGAAGCTATTAATGAAATATCAGATTAAGCTTAATCTCAAGTTAATCAAATAATGAAAAACCAGGCATAAGGAACACAACGATATCAAGTAAACGATATGTATTTTTATTTATAAAAAAAGTTATAAGCAACAAAAAAAGCATTGGGAAAAGAAAATTGAATATGCCACATTTTGTCATATATAGAGTTTTTAAGAATTAAATTTTACTTATAAATTATAAATACTTTAACATGTGGAAAGTTCAGTTGAAATTGTATGAAGAATTTGTCATTTTAGAAACAAATCATTTTGGAATAAAGTCTAATAAATAGTATAGAAATAATGAAACTCTCTAATAAGCATGTTTATATGTGATATTTTATGATGATGCAATTTTTATGATAACAAGTTAATGATATTTATTAAGATTCGAGATGTATTTAATTTTAAATAATGATTTTTTTCTGTTTTGTGTAAAAAATACATTAATAATAAAAAATTTGGTAAAACTCCTGTTTAGGGGAAACCCTCTCCTGACCTTGATGTATGTTATCAAGATCATGACTCTGAGTGACCTCCAACAGGTTTTAGTTGTCGCTTGTCTTTCGTTCAAAAGTTATGAATAAAAAAAGTTTCGAAAATAACGTCTTATTTCTGCTATATATATATATATAA